TGAACCTCGGGGTGGCTCAGGGCCTGCTCCGGACTGACGTCATATGGGAGCTTGCTGTGGACAGAAGATAGACACCCCTTGGCATCAGCAAAAAGGCAAAGTAACATGGCCTCTGTGGCAAGACTAGGGGCGGGGATGGGGCAAGGGGCAGGAGCGCAGACCTGACCTTTTCTGTCCGCTCTGTGACTCGAGCTGGTTGATCCAGGCCTTGTAGATGTCCAGAGGGTTGGTGCGGATACTGAGGGTTTTGTCCTGCAGGACTTCTTGCACTGGCTTGCCCAGGATCTGGCGCAAGGCGTTCTGCCCACGGGCATTACGGTAAAAACTCACCACCAGCCTGATCACCGTGGGGTTCCCCGTTAGGATATCGCGAGGCTGGTCCACTTTGGACCTGGGGGGGGAGGGAGGGGGGAGGAGGGGAAAAGGAAGAAAGGACAAAATTCTGACCTTGGCCTGAAGATGGACACTCCTGGGTGGATTTGCAGCCCGCGCATGTATATAGCCATGCTGGGCAAACAGCACAGTTGCACTGGACGGATCTGCCGAGCCGTGGAATCAACCTGCCTCCTCACACCATTGCCTACCCCTACCCCAGACCCCACGCCTTGGGGGGCCATGGTGGCATAGATTAGGCGAGGGAAGGCATTGCCTTTGTCACGGAGTTTGTGGGAGTCAGCGGGCCTTGCACCCCCCATCCACAGTCACAAGTGACTCAGGCAGCAGGTAGAACAGAAGATTTATTGGTTCAGAGGGACAGCGCAGTTCAGACTTCTTGTTACAGGAACCAGAAGCCCTCAGTACAATCTGCTTTGGGGGTTGGGGGGCCCAGAGCCCAAGCTCTGGGCCCTGGCCCCCCCGGCCAGCTATACTGATAGTCCCTTCTCCTTAAGGCAGCTGAAAAAGTAACTCGCACACCTAGCAACTGCGCCACCTCTTCCTCTGCTCAGATTCCCTGGCAAAGTGTCAGCTGACTGAATCCTGCACCTAGCTCCGGTGTCAGGCCAAACTGGGCCATTCCCTA